TCACATTCTGTATTCGTTGACGATGCGTAGGTAAAGAATGTAAATTAAGTTAAAAAAATTTCAGAAAAAAACATATCTATTCGATGACTGCAGTAAGATATATAGCCCCAGCTAGGTGCTACTTTATAGGATGCCTAAAGTTAGACTTTTGTTCATGGAAATGTATATATCAGCTGGGCTTGCTATGAAAATATTTAGATTAATTAAGATCTTTAGTGATTCAATAAAATGTGGTAGAAAAACAGTATAGAAAGCAAACATAGATACCAGAGACAGTGTGGGAGGAGAGTGGGAGATGGCAGAGAGTAAGAGATAGGGAATCAAGGATGGGGAAAAAAAAGCAAAACATACAGGAAACAAGAAATGGAAAATTATTTGTTGACAGTAACATGTATGTTGATGTGCTTGATTGAGCCAATATACAGTGTACTCTGGATGGAAAATCTCATTTTGTATGCTGTAATGAAATAAAGTGAATGAATGTAAATAAATAAATTTAAATAAAAAAAAAGAATCTAGAATGCTTTATGATTTTGACTGGTTGAAAAGATACATACTTTTGGGGGGCCTAGGGAAGGTCATTTGGAGGAACAATACAGAGCATTGACGGGATCGGGAGGTGTGGTGTTATCTGTTGAAGATATTTTGATCAAATGGTCTGGGGAGAAATGTTCACATATTAAAATGTTCACTCTGTAAGTTAAACTATGTGATTGAATGCATATAAAAAATAAAAAAGATACATGCTTTTGGAACAATAGCTAGAGTGTAACTATAAATAAGTTTATCATATGCTCAGATTTATATGATTGTCTAATTAGTTGAAGAATAATAGACTAGTGATCTTTTAAAACAATGCTAACCACATACTATAATTAAATTATTTAAATCTATTAAAATTTCAAAATGAGTGTGTGTAGACAAGCACAGAGATATTTTATAATTTTAGTAAAATTTACTTGTTTCCACGTTTAAGCTTTTTTCCTTTATAGGCAAGATTCTTCTGTTGCTTGAAGAATTGGCTCTCATTTAAGCAATGGAAAGAAATTAAGATCATATAAAAGAAGAGTAACCTATCATTGTCTTTGGGACATGAACAGGAAGCTGTTAAAGCAATGGTTATTGGACCATGCAATATGTCCAAATGTCAAGGATACTTCACAAAAAAGACTTAGAAGTCATAGTGGAAAAGGTGTATGGGCCCAATATGATGTTAAGAACTGCTGTTAGCATAATGGCTATGTCGCTGGACTCCCACGTAGTCAACCGTGGTTCGAGTCTCGGACCTGGTGGCTTAAAACTCACGCCGGGCGTGTGTGCATGCATGCCCAAGATCCTGAGAGGAGAATGGAGGAGAAGGGATTGCAGCGTGGCCATGCCCCTGAGGGGTGACTGCTCTCTTTCTGTCTCTCTGTCTCTCTCTGTCTTTCTGGTGAGTGCACATGCCCTATAGCAAATCCTTTCTCTTAAGCTAGTTCCTCATAATTAGAAATTCCTTAGTACTGTTCCCCCATCTGTGAGGAGTCTGACAATAATGCACGTAACTCATGGGGCCTACTATAGGAATCGTGTACTGATTATATAAGCATGGCTTCTACTCATTTGTGGCATTTAGATAATCTCTTTGTAGTTCATTATGAATTTTAGAGTTCTTCTCTGATGCCAGTCCTGGCAGTCAGTTGCTTCTAGAGAGGATCAAGAATTGTTCTTTGTTGTCAAATTGGGTGCTTGTCATAGAGGGTAGAAAAATGGGATGTGAAGGGAAGGTTTTCAATGCTAGGTGAGTGACTCTATTTTCTTTTGAAGGTCAAATGTTAGATATCATTTAAATTATTATTTTACTTTTGTTGCAGAATGCTTAACAGAAAGATCTGTTGGGACATGAGCATGCCAGCTTAAACTACACTGTAGTGGGGCATAATCTGAAAGTACAAGTTTATGTACATGGTTTTAGTTTACTAATTTTTAAAGAAAAATTTAGAAGAGCATCTAGATAGTCTAGGAAATATTGGTAGGATTTTGTTTAATGTTTTTTTTTTTTTTTTTTTTTTTTTTTTTTTTTTTAAGAGAACTAATTATTTTGTGACTGAAGTTCTAAAACACAGAGAACAGGTCAACAATTATGACTAATGGTTATCAGGAGGTATGAACAAGTATATTTGCATGTGCTATTTCAAGCCACTGTCTTCAGAAATTAAAGAAGGCTAATATAGACTGAAAAGGCTTATGATGTGCAGGTGTGGGGTAGGGTGTAACTAATACGGGCTCAGGTATGAAGCTGCCATGCATCACTAATGAGAGACTCAGCCAAAGGGTTGCCTGCAAGTTTTAAAGCTTCCGATGCTGTATGTAGTTAGAAAGCCTGGATTTCCTTTTTGAATTACTTCATTACATAGCTAAATTTATTAGAATTTGGGCACAGTGCAAGTACACATATTCCTAAGATGCCATCATAGTAAAGACCAATAATTTGGTTACATTTCAGGGAGAAAGTCTACACTGAAATGAACATTGTGAGAAAACTCAATTTAATGATACCTCGGAGTATATTCTTGCTTCCCATACTGCTATTTTCATTACAAGGTAAGAGCCTACATTAGTTTGTTACCTTAATGTATTTTATTCTCTCTTGCAATTGGTATAAATAGCTTCCTCTTATAGTGTAAAGAAAGCACTGTGAAGTTGTTAGAATGGATTTGTACTGAATGGCACATTAGCTTTTGAAAATTCTTAATAAAGTATTTAGATAGTTTGGACTTTATAGGTTTTACCGATATATTTTTTGTATTTTTTAATGGTTAGTGAATTATGCTTTACCATGAAATGCAATTGTACTGGAAGAAGCTCTGATTTTGACTTTCTGTCTTATAAGTGAGAATTTAAAATAGTTGTCTATGTGTAATGTAAACATTGGAAATTTTGCAGTAAATAAAGAAAAAACTGAATTCTTAAACTTTCTTTATGCCATCAACTTGAAAGAATGGCAAAAAGATGTTTTAATAGTGACTGAAACATTGGCTCTAAGAATTAATTCTCAATTATTTTATTAGTAGTTTCATTTATAAATTATTTGTATTCAGCTGTTGATTTTTAATCCCTGAAAAAGAATGTGTATTGGAGCATGTAGTTGAAATGGGAGAAATTATTGAAGTTTAAAATCCTGGAAAGTTCAAAGACACCATCTTCAAATCCTAGTATATACATCAGAAATTGAAAACTCAAGGAGAAAGATGTCATAGATTTTTGGAACTGGAGAAGGCTTTGGAAATGAATTTGTTCAACACTATGATTTTGTTGTGTGTTTGGTACCTTACGTACACTTGGCAGGTACTCAGTGGTAGGACGAGAACTGAAACTTGGATCTCGGGTCTAAGTCCAGTGCCTGTTCAGTTGTAATTATTCCTCTGTGGAAATCTATGTACACTGGCCATTCTTTTGAGATTATCAGTTATTCCAATGTCTCAGAAAATTTGCTGGTCAAAATTAAAACATGCAAAATAAATAACAGCAAAACTCAAAATAAATCTTAGAATTTAGGTTAAGTTATTTTTAGGTTAAGATAAATTTTAGAATTTAGGTTAAGTTAAATTTTAGAATTTAGGTTAAGATAATCTGTTAAAATGACCAGAACATGTGACCAAGATATTAGGTAATTTAAACAATTCATGTATTTATCTTTGGCAGGATATATTTGTGCGTCATCCATCTTGATGGGAACATCAAAGTGAGTATTTCTCATCCTTTATGACCTCTAAAACCTGGAGTCCGTGGGAATGATCAAAGCTCAGCAGACAATAGCACGTTCTTTTGAAACAAAATTTTCAAAAAAGCATGAGATACAGTTCTTTAAAACATTTCCATAAATTAAAGATTAGCAGGTATTCTTGTCATTATTTATGCAGGAAATATGTTTCTTTTTATTTTAATTACAAGGGAAGTTAGGGGTAGTGACCAATGACTAAATATTAAAGAGATGTGATTTTTCACTTCAAAGATTTGTGAATATTTTACATTCAGTAATATCCCCCTTTATATTGCTGTTATTAATATAATTTTAAAATTTAATGTGTTGTATTCTTAACATAGAGTAAAAGAATTTTTAATGATAAATTGAATACAATGGTTCTAGCAGTAAATAATGAAAATTATTTTTTGAAGTACACTGATCTGCTTAATGAAAGGCAGGATTCTAGTCACCATTTGACTTTTAATAAAAATTTTTATAAATATAAAAAAACAAATGTATCCCTGAGGTAATTATTAATCACTTATTTTTGATAAGTCACAACTTGATGTCCTTATATGCATGTTAATCTGCCTTTTATGACATGAAACAGGAGAGAATTACATATGATATTGGAAAAAGCAAATGTGCCCTTGGCACATTCTGACCTTACCAGATCTATGCTGTCATGTGAAGAAAGTGTTATGGAGGTTGGTGCTACAGTGTTACACTATTTTGTTTATTTTTCTTTCTCAATGTTCCTTCCTAAAATTCAGTGTACATCAGACACTGAAGAGATTTGGGGACACTCCTGAATTTTGTAAAATGAGACAGCGCCACCCCCCAAATCTAACCCCTCCACAGAGGGGAGGGAAACCTTTTAAATGTTAAACTAAAAAAGACCTCTTTGATAAAGTGATGGAAATCAGGAGGAAAACACCAGCTCTCTCTTGGGAAAGGCTTGTTCAGGTTGCCTTGGGGCCTTTGACTATACAAGTTCTTTTTGTTTTCTTCCAGAAACGGGTTTAATGAAAATCGACAGAAAAGAGCTCTTTTAGCAGCACAGGTAGGTTATGCTTCAGGTGGAGAGAAAGGCAGAGAAATAATCCATTCTGCCTTGGACTCTGCTGTCACTTCAACAATGAGACCTTTGTAAGGGGAATAAAATGCTTAACACAAGACAGGAAGAGGGAGGATGAGGCAAAGTAACTTCTCTGTGCTTACAGAGACCCTTAAATTCGTGCTCAGTTCACATTGACTTGTTAGACATAAAATAAATTTTTTTCTTACTATTTAATCTTAGGTATACTGATAAACTTGAAGCATTTAGGGGGAATTTAATCTCATTTACTTGCTAGAGAATTTGAATTGGTTTAAAAATTAAGCACATTATCAGTCAGTACAATGGCAATAACATCCACAAAAAGGGACAGAAAAAAGTGTAAATAAGTGTAAATAATATGAGTTAAATACTGCAAGAGGGCATCAGATATGTCTTGGCATGCTCACAGACCACATTTATATTGTTATATTGTCTGATAAATCTAAATTGTGGGCATCTCTGGGGAGGTAACGTGTTTTTTTTTTTGGTTCTTTTCCAGAGTAGTTGAATTTGAGAAGATTTTTTTTGTCCTTTAAAAATAGAACTGCAAGATATTTAAATTATGGTTGGAATATTCAGATGGTTGATATATACATAATGGATTGTAAAATAGAGACTCCTAATATAGAAAAGACATTTCTTTAGAAAGTAATATGATTTGAAGTATTTATATAGCAAACAGTGTAAATATTTAAGGAAACCTTTGCCAAATAATGAATGGCAAATTATTTCGATTAGCATTTCCTGATGGATGCCTAGATTTTTGTGTTTAATGATATTATTTAAACACGATTAGTAGATGAATGGAAGGCAGATGGATATGGTGTTGCAGAAATTTACAAGACAGAATTAATTTTTTTTATCACCAGTAGGGAATTTTTTTTGTGCTCGAATGGGCAAAGGATTGCCTATGGAATGGACACACTTTTTTTTCTTAGAGTGTGTTGCATATTAAGTATGCACGTATCATTTCAAGTGGGCAAAATGATTTTCTCTGAGAAATTTTAAGTACATATTGGTCTGTAGACTACATTAACCCCCTCTCCCCAAACACACACACCAAAACAAACAAACAAAAACTTAGTAGAAAATCAGATTTTGAGGAAAACTGCATTCCGTTGAACCCACCAGATTGAGGAATTTGTAAAATATACCCTGAGGTATAAAGGCACAATAAATATCCTATAGATGGGATTATAGTATTGTCCATTTATATTCTTTCAGAATTTAAGTAATTTACACCAAAGGAGTTCTGTTAATACCTCCCTTTTGTTAATAAGTGAGGAACACACTACCCTTGCCTTGATTTCTCCCGTTCAGAGCTGCAGAGCTGCAGGAGACTTGTACTTCTATTTCCTGTAGCTAGAGAACATACACCTGAATCATTTAATATCTAACAAGTTTTTAAAGAAGGAATGTTAAAGGAGGGACAATGAGATCATAATTATGTACTGCACTGTTTAGGATTGGGATTTGATATGCTATGAGACCATTCTTGTCTGCGGATTCATTCCCTTGCTCTAGAGAAACAGTGCACTGATGGTTAGAAAACAGTGCATGTCAGGATTCAGAAATATGTTGGCCATGAAGTGAGCAAGGGAAGGGTAGACACAGACTTCTGTAAATGGTTTATTGGTGTGCTGTAGTGATTTCCCATTTAAAGACTATTTTTCTCTGTGCTGCTTATCCTCTTGTAGCTATGCAATCAGGAAGGAGGAAGACTGGAATTTCCTCTTTTATCATATACATGGACCCACTGCTTGGGATTTTTTTGTTTTTGTTTTTTCATTTTTTTGCATTGTAAGTCAAAAATTCTTCTAAAAGCAGATGCCGAAACATAGACTCATGTGTAGTATATTTGTTTGGGAAATGCATAAATGAAGGAGAGAGATAAGTGAGAGCAGGAGAAAATCTGATATATGATGTATTAATGAGGCACTTCCTGCTTTAGGCTTCTGGGATTAGGTTTTGTTGGAATTCTCTGAGGAACTGCATAGAATGTGTCCTGGGGGGGAAATATATATATATGTATTCACACACACCCCTCCATTTCTTACCCTCTGCTGTATTCTACCCTCCTCCCGTTTTATCTCTGGTATCTTCAGTTGCTTTCCGTTCCTTTATTTTTTCTCCCACATTGTATTGGTTAACAAATAATTCCACTAACTACTTTCAATAGAAGTTCAGCTGATATATAAATATCTGTGAATAAATGTTTGACTTTAGGCATGAAACTGTGAGTAGAATGGATATACTATAAAATAGCACCTAGCTGAGGCTGTATAGCTTATTGTGGTCATTAAAGAGTTATTTTTAATATGTTTTTTAATTTCAAGAAAAGCAATTTTAGCTTTAATAAATCAAAAAAAAAAATGTTAGGAGAACTTTGCTTAAAACTTAAAGCCAGGAAGCAGGTTAGGATTCTGTTCAAATACTAGTTATCTGGATCTGTTGACAATTCAAGAGAAGACAAAAATTCTTATTTCTGGACTACAAAGCATAGAGAAAGAGCAGTGTTGTTTTAGTAAAAAAGCCATAAAATTCTGTTTTATCATCTCAGTCTCATGTGCTTAATCTAACTTCTGTTGTGGTTCAAGCTGGTCTTGTGTTGGCAAATTCTTTCAGGTTTTTTTAATCTGAGGATGTTCTTGTCTTCTCTTTCCATAGGAAGGATAATCTTGCCAGATACAGTATTCTTGGTTGAGATTGTTTTTCCACTCAACACTTTGAATATATTTTACCATTCTTTTCTTGCTCTCATTGTTTCTGATAAAATGTCTGCTGTTAGTCTGATGGGATATCCTTTGTAGGTAACTTGTTTCTCTCTTGCCAGTCTGAGTACCTTGTCTTTGTCTATGGTTTTAGTCAGTCTGGCTATAATGTGTCTTGGAGAAGATCTTCTGGGGTTAATTCAATTTGGGGTCCTTTGTGCTTCTTGGGTCTGGATCTTTGAATGCCTTTCTGGGTTTGAAAAGTGCTCTTGCAGGATTTCAAGGAATAGATTATCAATGCCCTTATTAGTCTCTTCACCTTCTGGGATACCAATTATCTGAATGTTTGGACGTTTGATGGTATCTAGTACTAATTTATCGTATATTATTCTTATTTTTTGGACTATTTTCTCAGTCTTTGTGATGGATTTTTCTAGGTCAGCGATTCTGTTTTCTACATCTGAGATTCAGTCTTCTGTATGATCTAGTCTGCTTTTAATACTTTCAAGGGAGGTTTTGATTTTTGTATTACAGCCTTCATCTCTAACAGTTCTGTTTGTTTCTCTTTTTAACAAATATTATTTATTTAGTTTTGCTTATTTATTTTTGTTTGACCAGAGACACATACATATACGCAGAGAGAGAGAGAGACAGAAAGAGAGAGAGAGAGAAAGTGAGAAACCAAACCACCAGGTCTAAGAGTCGAATTGTGCTCAGCCATGTGGGAGTGTCCAGTGCCTTAACCACCACACCTCCTGCTGGTCCTCTGTTTGATTCTTTTTTTATGATGAATATTTCCTCTCTCAGATCATGCCAAAACTTCCTCTCCTCCTAGAACTCTTTGGCTCCATTCTCCTGCCTCTTCTCGAGTTCATTGTCTTTCTTCTCTTGCATCTTTATTAACTTTGTTGCTATGAATATTCTAAATTCTTTAACAGATATTTCCACGATTTCTGTTGAACTGCCTGTGGATGAAGAGGAGTTATTCTTTTCCCTTATGGAAGGAAGTATTATCTTAGTTTCTCATATTTCTTGTGCCTTTGCTATGATTCCTAGTCATCTGATGGGTTATATGCTTCTTTCTAATTTCTAGAAGTTCATTCTGAGCATTCAGGGGTGTGCAGGAGGAGGTGATATAAAATCTCTTTTTTGTTCTGTGTGTTTTTTTTTTTAATTTTCTTTTATTTCTTTGTGCAGCAGATTCAGTGGGTATCGAAGAATATGTCGACCCTAATGTATTTGGATGTTTGGCTATGGTTCCCTTAGATCTGTCTAGATACTCAGTGAATGGAGATTGAGCAGCAGTGATGAGGTAAAAGAAAAAGAATAAGAAAACAGAGAAAGAGAGAGAGAGAGATAAAGAAGAAGAAACAACCAAATATATATATTTTTAAAAAGCAAAAAATAAAAACTGTGCAGCACTAGTTCTCAGCTGCAATAGAATCTTCTTCCAAAGGCTTGCCCCTTGCCTCTCCACTCAAGGCTGGGGACTGGAGTGGAGACAAATTTCATTTCTCTTATTCCCTGAAAGTACTAGTCTGCCAGGAGTATGTTCTAAGAGCTCCGGTGGATTTCTGAAACTAAGGATAGCACTAAACCCTATGTATACTATGTATTTTTCCTATACATACATAATAAAGCTTGATTTTTAAGTTAGGCCAGGGAGAAATTAATAACAATAGCTAATAATAAATAGAACACTTATAACACTATGCCAGCATCACTACTCTTGTGTGTTGGCACCAGTATTAAGTAAAATAAAGGTTACTTGAACAGAGGCCCTGTGGCACTACAGTAAATCTATAATAATCATAAAATCACTGAACCACTACCCTGAACTACTTTGAACTGTCTTAACAAAATATATGTTAATGTTCTATGAACTTTAAAGTGTCAGCTCTGCAGAGGCTGAGATGATGCACCCTAAGTTGCTTCTGTGGATGGTATCTTAGCAGCCTGGTATGCAGACGTACCATACTTCTATCATTCCCGTAGTTGTCTTCTCTTCCCATACTGGTTTGTACCTGGAAGCATCAGAGAATTGCTTCTTCTGCAAGTAAAGTGGTCAGTTAATCCAAAGATTAGCTTCCAGTTGTGCTTCTTTCACAAGAAGGATGACTGATAGGGGAAGGAGGAAGGGACGTGAGGACAGAGAACAAAGGACATATATGTATTTTTTCAAAGTTATCTAAGATGCACACCAAAAACTTGAAATAAGGTTTCTAATCGTACTCAGAGTAGCCTTTTCTGCCTCACTGAGATAGCCTCAATAATCTCCAAAATATAAAGTTGATACTTTTTCATTTTTGTACTTGCAGGTATTTTCTAGGTTTCCAATTGTATGTTTGGTTTGAATTAAGTAATCTAACCATCTTGAATCCTTATTTCTATCTTTTAAAGTTTGAAGCAACTTCTCCAAGATATTTTTTCCATGAAGCTATTAACTGGGGAGAAAGCAAAATAAAAGGTCAGTACTTATAACTATGCTTTTATATTTGCTTTCTCAGTAGCTCCTTTCGGGGGATCTATTGAATCGACTCTTCATTAATTCCATGTAGTACATGGAGGATACTGACCCAGAGTAGTAACAATACCTAGAAATAAAGTACGTTCTCTTCATATAAAATTTTAAGTTCTTTCTGGAAATAATCAAGACTAAACATTTAAACAGCTGATAAGCTATATGACTAGCAAAGATGCCACTGGATATCAGAAAATTTTCTGAATCAATTATTTACTCCTTCATTCTTTGACAACCTATTTTTTGCTTACTAATTTCCCATTTCCATTGAGCAGAATATTGATGGTAGTTTGAAATTTAATTTCATTGAGAACTTTGAAATAGAAAATTTTGTTATTACATTAAAAATGTTAATGATCTTCGGGAACCAGCAGTTAGCATAGTGACTATGTCACTGGACTCCCACGTAGTCGACTGTGGTTCGCGTCCCCGACCTGGTGGCTTAAAACTCACACCGGGCACGTGTGCATGCGTGCCCAAGATCCTGAGAGAAGAATGGGGGAGAAGGGATTGTGGTGGGACCATCCCCCCTGGGGGGTGATTTCTCGCTTTCTGTCTTTATGTCTCTCTCTGTCTGTCTGGCAAGTGCATGTGCCCTACAGCGAAAACCTCTCCAAAAAAAAAAAAAAAAGAAAAAAAATGTTAATGATCTATACCTGTTTTGTTTTAATATTTGTTTTCAAGAGAATAAACAAGAGCATAAATAAAAGTTTTGAAGAAGATATATTTGTTTATTTAAATTTTAGACATCTTCATTGGAAAAAAACGACTGTGTTCTGAGACACACTTTAAAGATAAATGTGCCCGGGAACCAGCAGTTAGCATAATGGCTATGTCGCTGGACTCCCACATAGTCTACCGTGGTTCGCGTCCCGGACCTGGTGGCTTAAAACTCACGCCAGGTGCGTGTGCGTGCGTGCCCAAGATCCTGAGAAGAGAATGGAGGAGAAGGGATTGTGGCGTGACCATCCCCCCCTGGGGGGCGATTTCTCACTTTCTGTCTCTCTGTCTCTCTCTGTCTGGCGAGCGCATGCGCTCTATAGCGAAAACCTCTCCAATAAATAAATAAATAAATAAAGAAAGAAAGAAAGAAAGAAAGAAAGAAAGA